GGGGAAGGGGGGGAAGGGAGGGAAGGGAGGGAAGTAGTGACTTTGGATTCCAAAGTTTGGATCACCACCGGTGACCACCCTCGTTGCCCCGGCGTGGAAACTGTAGAGTACCGCCGCAGCGAGGGTGCGGTACATTAGAGATAGAAGATAAGATATCATGACTTGTAATATTCCGTTGTCCTGTGTTGAAGTGCATACCTTGAACACACTATGTTGGAGTGGTGGATGAACTTTGGGTATCATATAGATAGAAGAAAATTTTATTCAAGAAATGCGTCCCAACAAGTACTGCGATTGGTGGATAGACTTTACAGTCGCTGCCCTGGCGTGGAAACTTCTAGAGTACCGCCGCAGTGAGGGTGCAATAGGTAGAGATGGACGATAACAAATAACGACTCGTATTATTCATTGCCCGTTTTCATGTGTTGAGCTGTTGAACTTCGACGTACTATGTTGGATGGGCTTTACACTCGCTGCCCTGGCGTGGAAACTGTGGAGTACCGCCGCAGCAACCCATCGTTATATGTGATACGCATCACCCATTCCCAAGTATGTTGAGTGGCTCAACTGTGTTCAGAGGTGAACCCTCTTTGCCGCCTGCCTCAAGTGATGTGGGTGTTTGTGTGTCCGCGTTTGGTATTGCAACTATGCCGAACCCTTGCTGCAATGGCCGGGAAGACTTGCAATGGGAGTGTGGTGCGCACTGCGTACTATGCAGCGATACCAGCCGCAGCAAGTGGTGCAGGTTGGCATGCCATACACTGGAACTTTACACACGGCTTGTGTGTTGTTCAGTTCTCCAAAACACTCCATGTATTACAAACTGCAGAATACATGACCTGGAAAACGCCCACACACGTTTATGAAGCGTGCAACCAACACAATTCGAGCTGCTGCAAAATGGAAACCCCTGGCAACTTCGCCTTGACCTTGCCGTGGTTGGAAAGCAAGTACCTACGGGACAGAACGGACCAAAATTATGAATCCACGGATGTTTTGTCGCGGACCGGACGCCGCGCACGCCCTCCGTTAATTTAACGGCAAATAACGGTGAAGAAAAAGTGAGAGCCGGATTCTGCGGACGGCAATACGGCAAACAGCGGACCGGATGTTACCGGACGAATATCACACTCACTTTTACGAACCGGACGCAACGGAGCGGACGGTACCCGAGTGTGGCCACCTCTAGTGTGCAGCCCAAGGGGCTGGCGACCTATAAATCACACGTTAGACACGGCCACTATTGCAAAAAAGAACAACCGCCCATTATCGCAAAAAAGAATAGTTCAGGCATTGTCACAGAAATGAACAATGTTGTGGCAATAACAAGCAAGACTGCCACAAAAAAGAATCTGTCGGGAAAAAGGACAATTTCACAATCACAAAAATAGTGGTTGACATCCAACCTGGGCCTGCGGTTTTCCCCCAGTGGAGGGCAGCAAGGTGGTTGTTGGGCGACTGGAGGTGGCAGGAGCGATAGTGGCCGCCTGTCATGAGGGCACTCATTGAGCTTCATGCTCGTGTTGCTGCTTACGAAATTCTGTTGATTGCGTGTCAGCCATTGAGGACTATGTCGCCACCCCACAGCACAACGACAATTCATACCCGTGCTAGTGTTCTTGATAGAAATTGCGATGTGGAGCCTATCCTGATGTGCGAATGTCCAAAGGGTTTTGCAGGCCGTGCCACATTTGAAACTGGGTGCCAAAGGTCAAAGGGGGTGGTGGCAGAAGCACAATTTGAGTTGTTGTGCAGGCGCTATAACGAATGTGTTCGGCGTCCTTGTTTGGATTTTTGGTGTGTGGGTGTGATGCGTGTGGGAGCCACATACCCAGTCCGCCTTATGAGATGGCTGTCAAGACTATGGTAGGTGTGATCTAGGACCGCTCAATGTTCTTATTTAGGCTTGAGAAATATGGTTTATTCTTACTCAAAATACGAAATAATACGCACATTTTGAAGCATATTTTCAGACAATTATACTAATGTGACGTGGCTGCTTGGGGTTTCGGCTTATTTGACATTTCTGAAGTGGGAATTACGTAATCTTGGAAATCGACCTTTTGTGGTGTCATTTAGAGCTTCCTGGTTCCAACGAGCTTTTAAACGCCCGATTCCGTTAAGAAACGGCGAAGATATGGCCTCCTGAAGTTGTAGCACTTAGGGCCAGGGGGTCGGGTGTTAGACGCTTGGAATTAGAGGACAATGGGTCGATCGTAGGTGAACGGTGGACGGTTACGATGTGCCTGGACGCGCATTTGACTTGTCTTGTCTTGATGTGACAACGATGGACCCGCGATCGGGCATCGCGCATGCGGATTTGTGCGCGCGCATGCAGGAAATTCGTGTAACCGTTTTGGCCCACTCTCTGGCCTCCCGCGAGCCAGCAAACCACCTAACCACTGCGCCGCCACCTCTAGCCGACAGCAGGCCCCGGGGATCGATCCCCGTCAAGCATTGGGCCCACCGCACGACCGCCGATTCGACTGCCCCGGAAACGCCCACCATCCGAGGTGGAGAGGCCAGCTGACCTCCAACGGCTATGCTGTAGGGCAGGGCGACCCCAGAGCCTCCGGAAACCAGTGGCTGCCGACGGGCCGCAGCAACTAATGACAGATAACCTGGCGAATTGATGACTGTAGCCTGCGACTTGCATCCCACAGGCATACAACATGCACGTCAAGACAACGGAAAAGTTGGGCACCCTGTGGGTGAAAAGTGGAGTGAATTGAGGTGTTCAAGATCTTTAATTGGCAGTGAAGCGCTTCGCAGACTCACAGGCCAGCCGGGTATGAGCGCGGCATTGCTATGGTAGGTGGCAATGAACATTGTTGTTACCATCTGGCCATTAACGGTCAATTTCAGTTTGCTGTGTACCGTGGAAACGTGCCAAAAGCTGCGAGGTAGTAGATAACGCGGTTTAATGAGCTGCACCATGGACAGATCGGATATAGATACAGACAGGTGGAATTTACACGTTGCTGAGGTTGCAATAATCTGTGCTGTGCTCCGGCTCAAAGTTGTGCAAGATGCGGACAAGCGTGAAACTGATGCTCTTGTGTGGGTCAATATGCAATGTTTTCTCATGGCGTAGACGCTGCTGTGGAGATAGTAAAGTGACGACATCATGGACTGGTCAGACACAGATACTACTAGTTTGAATCGCATATCATTTGATTATAATTGTGCAAAATCTGCTGTATTTCTAGATTTATTTTAAGCCCCAAAATAGTGCACTGAATTATATGTGCATTTTTACGTATTACTATTTCAAGCCGTATCCGAATTTCCCAAGTCTGTTTTTATTCCAAGGGCGGCACAATTAACATAGGCTTACTTGTTTGTCTTCAATAAAGCATGGTCACTATCCTTTTGACAAGTCCTCGCAGTGGAAACATTCGCTGCACATATCGTATTCAATAAGAACAGCTTGCCTGCAGAAAACTTCCCGCCGTTCCACCTGTGCAGTAGGAAACTGCTGCTGCTGATGGGCCAATAGTGACATCCATCATGACCGCGGCAAAGTGAATTATTGTCTTGCCGATTGCCCGGCTGCTGGCCCGAAATTGGCCCGAAGGCACCTCGCCTCCCAAGAAAAACCGCCCGGGCTCCGGAAGAGGTCAGTTTCGGACTGCCCCCCCGCCCGGCAGGCCCTTCCCACCCACGGGCCGGAAGCGTTCTCGGGACGCAAACGCCGGCCCACCATGGACCAGCCGAGCGCCGCGCCCCAGATCTTCAAGGTCCGCCGAGCGCAGAAATCCGCCGGCGTCGATCCGGCGAAACCCGACGCCCGCCGCTCCAAGTCCGGCGGTCGTCGCGACGGCCGGGAGCGCTGAACGCGGAGGCGCGGCGGTGAATTCGGCCGGAGATCCCCCGCCTCGGCGTGTGGCCTCGACCGAAGCGGACGTTTTGCCATTGTGTCGTCTGCGCGCAGGGCTTCGTGTTCTATATCGACCTCGACGGCGGGGGCAATTGGGGCAAGGACCGCGACCTGACATCCGTGCTGACGGTCTGGATACGTGAGTGGCGCGCCGCCTCTGCGGACCCCCGAAGACCGAGAGGGGGTTGGCTGAGATCCCGTGAGCGCCCGTGGGGTGCCTTCCGTCACGATTAGTGATGGGCCATGCGGCAATTTGCGACCGCGCGATGCCTGTTTTGGGATTGCGCAGACACCGCGGCGAAGGGTGGGAGGAGCCGGTGCGGGGAGGATGCTGAGGTTGTGCCACGGGGGCTGGTGCGCAGGGACGTCGGGAGGCCGCGTGTGCCGTTTGCTGGACCAGGGCTGCACGCATGTCGTTGCCAGGCATTCCCAGCAGGACGTCTGCCGGTGGGCCTCGGCGCGCGGCATCCGGCTGGCTTCTCCCCTCTGGGTGTACCACTGCATCACGAAGAAGGAGCTGCTGCCCATCGTGGAGGTGATGCGATGGGATCTGGCGCCTGGCTGTGTGTTGCTGGTCCTGACGTTGACTTTCCTGACGTTGCTTCGGGGCTGAGTTCGCGAAAACGGGGGCTGTGGCGAATGGCGTGGGCACGTGACGTCCGACCTCCATTCGCGATACCTGCAGCATTTGGTGAACTGCACAACTGGGCTGCAGTCTTTCTTGCAAGGCTGTTTGGAGGGGGCATTGCATTTGCACCAAAAAATCCTGCAAACGAACGTGTCCTGACGGCCCATGCAACAAATAACAAACCTGCGGCTAAGCTTTGCAGGCGTGAGCCCAAGGTGGCATTGTGCACCCATGAGTTGGCAATGCGATGAAGAAGAAACTGGGATCTTTTTGCATACAAACACAATGCATGCCAAGACTTTATCTTTGGCTGCAAATGGAAGATCCTGCGCAATCGTGAAATTGCAGCCATCTTGCCCAAAATTTCTTATGGTCCACAACAGTACTGTTCAAGCTGTGCATGCTCTGAAGTGGAGCTGGATTTTAGGCAACTGTGCTGGGGGAGTTGGTGTCTGCTGCATGGATTGTGTGCTTTTGACCACAGTGTGTGGAACACGGCCTCTGCTGCAGTCTGCGTGCTGAAGTTTGGCTTCTGCCAGAGAAGGGGAATTTAAAATGCAGAGCTCCACAAACGCACCTGTCTCTTGTCTTTGTCACTTGCATGTGTAGATTCATGTTGACATGTGCGATTTTTGGCTGTCTTTCAGAAGCCATTTCGTGGGCCTATGATTCCAGGGTTCACAAACCATGTGAATGAAATAACGATTTCTGAGTTTAAGGTACGAGATCTACAATGCCTTATGCATCGTGGTAAACTGGCTGGGTTGGCAAGTTGCAAGTTGCAATTCAATATTCTCCGACCACAACTGGGTTCCCTATGATGCACAAGGCTGCAATTGCAATAGAAACCATCTCCACAATGCATGAAGACCAAGCTCCATAGTCCTCAAGCAGCCGTGCAGATGGGCCATCAATGCCAATTGTCTGTCCATGCCCATTGCTCCAGTTTGACACACCAGCAGCGTTGCAAGTCATTGGTAGGCTGATGGAGCAGAGACACTTTAGGAGCACTTTAGGAACAAACTATTGTGCACTTGTGCATATGCGTAGTGTTCAGCATCTCCTGATAAGTGCAAGTTTTGTGATTGCCATAGTCAGGTGCTTATGTCTTTGTTGCTGAATTCTGCAGCACCTCACCTCATGTGCTTCAAGCTGAATTTTGCTCGCCTGACATGGCTTGGCATGTCACCTGCATAGAACCATGAGAGGGTGATCGTCCGCTACCTCTGTGAATGCACTGGTGCCGCTTACTCTGGCCAACTGACTGTGCCCACCCAAACCAGCCATCTGATAGCCAACAACGTTGCCTCAAACTCTCAGAAGATCCAGTCTGCTAAACGGTAAGCAGTTACACAACTAGAGTGCGTTGAGTCTTGCACCTGGCTTGTTAGGATGTGAATTTTCGAACAATGGGCACAACAATCTAACCTTTTTTGGTGTTGAGTTGGTCAATGTTGACTTTTGTATGCAAGGTAATTGTTGGGCCCTGAGAAGGCAGAGACAATTACAGAAAATCAACAGTTCCCATCAGCTTTCCATGATATCTGCTACTCGCATCATCACTAGTTGCCATTGCCAAGTCCACTGTGCTGGCATTGCTGATGGCTGTGCCCTCCCCAACCTTCAGAATCATGACAGTCATCCCACAGTTAGGAAGCAGATGTGCTTCTACCGTTGCACAACCATTATATGGGGTGACAAACTGGTTTGACAGAAAGCAGCGAAAACAGAAAAATAGTGGACCATGTTGGTGTTGGTGTAGACAGGTGAATGCTGCAAGTTCAAACTGACATTTAGACTGGTGTTTCTTGACTGTAAATGCTGATATGCTTGAGCATGATAGGACATTATCATCTTGTACAATGCATTCCTGTACTGTGTTGCCGCCAGCTGTGTGACTGGCTGCTGTCAGGGAGGCTACCCAACATGGCACTGACATGGTGGCATCTTGCGGCTATTCACACACTTTATTGAAAATTCCCTGGCAGGTGCAGCACTGTCAAGATAGTGCCAAAGACATGGCTGGATGATTGTCTCACACAATGGCGACATGTGCCAGAAGGTGTGCACCCATCATAATCTACCCCTTCTTACATATGCCACTTTTTGTAGGGACCTGTCTTACAAGGACTCCTCTTGTGAGGACCATCCATGCACACAACCTCTGTTGGACTGCAAATCAGTATGGGGCTTGATGCCTGCCCTTAATGTTGACTGCTGTTCATCCCGTTGCTGTCAGTCTATCATCGATAAGGTTGTGGTGGCCAAATCCTTGGAGTGTTGGAGTCGCACTGTTTCCTCCTTCAACTTGCTCTTCCCGATTGGCACAACCTCATTGTTTGCCATCTGCCTTGTTTGGCACTGGCCGGTGACAAGTGCTTTGGCACAGCTTCAAACAGCCTGTTGATTCGAATCCATTTTTCGCTGCAAATGTGCAATTGCCATCCACTGTTTGGCACAGGTGATGCATGGCGATTGAAGCTGTGTCCCTTTTGTTTGTTCTTCGAATTGTTGATAGTCTTCAAGATATCTCTTGCTTCTTTGTACGTTAGGCCCCTACACAGAAGCTACCACCTCTCCAGTTTCGGAAAGCTCAGAAGAGAATGGGAATCTGCTCCCCAGTGCTGAGATGCCCTCTCTGACAGTGCCACCGCGTACAAAAGAGACTGGACAGTTTGTCGAAACAGAAGTCGTGGGGAAATCATTCCAGTTATATGCTGTTGATGAGGTTGCAGAGGGGGGATCAGCTAATAGTCTCCAAGACTGCGCCTCACATGGTAAGGGGGAGGGATCAACATTGGAACAAAATGGGGATGTTGCCAGGCAGGATGTATTTCTGGAAGCTTGTGAGCATGCAACTGGCAAGGAGGGAAACCAGGCAGGCAGCTGCCGTGGCAAAGTGGGACAGGGGGCTTCGGAGGGATTGTCCTTCACATACAACGAGATATATGAAGGTCTTGACATGTCGCAGCAGGTGGGCTCACCTGAATGGAAGGCCCTCAGGAAGGGCGTGGGATGCAGGGCACCCAGCTCTTATTTGCAGTATTGATGTGTCAACTCTGACAACAGTAAGGGGATGATGTAAACCAGGGTTTGGAAGTAATACTGGTGATGGCTGCAGATTTCTTTGGTCTGCATTGTGTCACACGACAGAGAGAGCAGCCCGCACAGCTTGATTCGGCGATTGCAGGCAATTGCAGCAGTGTTGTGACAGCATAGTGATGCTGCTTGTGAATATGTGCCAACGAATCGCTACTGTTGTGTGGGGTTTCCAAATGGTCGCCAGAAGATAGGGACAACCAAAGCAGCTGGTCTGGTCTCGTGGATCGGGCGCCGCTTGCTTCTGAACACAATCTGTTGTATTGCCTTCCTTTGGGTTGGAGATCAGCATGCAGGTGCTGGCCATGGCCACCGAAGTGAAGAATTAAATTTCCAACGAAGATGGCCTGCTGCTGGTTGTCACTAGTGGATAATGCCCATCTCTGTGTTAAGCAATACTGACAAACTGCAACAATTCCATGGAAATGTCAAATCCGATGACATCAGGGTAGAAGGTGGATCATTGCTTGTCGATGAACATTAGGAGATATTTGTGGTCAGCCCACCCCCAAACAAAGTGTATGTCACTCCATGGGTTAGTCCAGCCAGAACTGAATGTGCTATTTTGCCATCTTTGTCCTTACAACACAGATCACTGTCAACTATTGTGAAATAGGCAGCACTGGCATCTTGGCACTTTTCCTTCATTGTTTCATCCAGCACATTTGTTCACTTTGTTCAGCATTTGCATATTGGCATGTAACAGTTTTTTGTGCTTCTTGCAACACTTCTTGTAATGTGTGCTTCTTCAGGTGGGGTTGGCATCGGCAGTGGTCAGCCGGTTGGCATGTCAGCTTGCACCTCCAACACCCAATCCAGAATTACCAGAAACCGAGGTGTTGCGCCCACCTGGGGATGATGCTGAAGTCCCACATGTGGACTCTGCTGGCCAGTCTGCTGATCGAAAGCCTGAGGTTGACAAAGTTTGTTGCAAGTGTGAGGCAATCAATCGAGTTGAAACAGCCAGTGATGGCCATGATGGAGAACAGAACACAAGACAGGAGCTTAATGCGAATCTCGAGCAGAATGGTGTGCAAGAAGCTAAGCCTTTGAGGATGACGAGGCAAAGATTACGCACACCGAGGGATGCTAGGGCCAAAGTGCAAAGTGAGTTGGGAGCTAATTGGTCTTGCTTGGATGTGATATTGGCTGGCTAAAGGCATCAATAGCAGGGTGAGAATGGTTATTTTCGATATCTCCAATTGTGCTCGCAAATGTGCCAGCGTCCCATTGACTTAGTCATTTGCCTTGTTCTGAAAGTTGTTTGGCAAGATTTGGCTCCGTTGTTTACCAAGTATTCCATCAATAAACTAAGACATATATATGCTGGATTTAGGTGAACTGCAATCAAAGAAGGCCAGGCCCCAAAATTCAGGGAAAAAAATGAATCAGAGCCCTGGGAAGAAACCTGTGAAGAGGCGGCATGCTGGTGGAATAGAAGCAGTGGTCAGGACCTCCAAGAGGTCACGAACCTCTGATCCACTCACAGGATCTGACAAAGAAGAGCAGGCGGTGGTTGCTCTCAGTGGTGTGCGAACATCCCAGAGGTTGCGGTACATTGGAGTCCTGTCTGGGCTGCACGTTCGGTGCGCTTCTGGTGAGAATCAAGGATGTTTTCTTTGCAACAGTTTGCATGCTGTCTTTCATGTGAATGGCTATTGGCAATGTTGCAAGATTTGGTACTGCAAGTCTGGCATTTTCTGTGCGTGTGGGCTGAGCAATGCCTATATGGCTGAAAGAGCTCCTGATCTATTTTGATTTTGCAGCGTGTATGATTGGCTCAAGAAAACCAAACGTTTTGCATGCTCCCAGGGTGAAAAGAGGGCCTGATTATTATTATGACGTTGTTCGTGCTTTCTGCCCGCGCTCACACACGGTCGCTCCCAGGCGCGGGAAGCAAGCTGCAACCAGATGTGTTACAGAATGATTGTTTCGCTCCTGTAGCTTTCGCTGCAATCGTGTCCAACTCATGTCCATCGTTCCCCATTTCACCATATTTAACACCATATTTAATTCACCATAATAACCTCATCCTCCACGCAGTTACTTATGTATCTTTCTCGTCCTCACAATTATGAAACTAATACTGATGATGAACGTTTTCCCATCGTTTCCCAGCGTTGCAGGATGACTGCTGTTCTCTTTTCGTTGCCATGTGCCTAGGGGTCCAGTGCAGGCACTTGCGTGGTTAAGAACACAGAGGATAGTTGGTGATTTATGGATCTTCAAAACACGGTCAACATACCAGCCTAGTGAGATCCAGCACAAACTGAGTATATACCAGCCTGCACTATCGCACGCCCCTTTCCATCATGTGTTTCTGGCTGGATCACAATCCTTTGGCACAGTTTGGTAAAATGTTGGCGGTGGGGCAAGTCTGAGGTGTTCCCATATGATAGCAAAGATAGCTGCTGATGTGCCATTGTGTACTGCAGTGCACATTGTTGCTATTTGATATTTCTGCATCCATGTGTGTTTTGACTGGCATGTGCTGAACCAGTGTTGTGGAATTTTGCTTGCCATTGTCGACACATTGCTAGTTATAGCAATGCTGGCAGTAAGCTCCTTCAACTATTAGTTGATGAGTGAGATTTTAACAAGACAATGCCCTGATGCACACTGTTCGGCACCAAGGTGTATGTTTGTACTCTTTGCAACTGCTGTCAAGTTTGACTGAACATCACCAGCATCGCTCTGTGTACACAGCAGTCTGCTGAATGTCCCTTGCTTGTATTTCTGTGTGGCTCAGGCTCTTATGATTTGAAGCACCAGTGGAACGATCAAATCACTCATGTTGTACTGCCTGAGCTGAAGCGAAATGAGAAGGCTGTGTGCGGCATGGCGGCTGGCAAGTGGCTTGTCAGCACAGACTATGTCGAGGCCTGTGCTAAGCAGCAAAGGCTATTGGACCCCAGTGCCTATGAGCTCCAAAATGGGGAGAAAGATGTGATATCAAAAGGTTAAAGCACCATCAACTTGTTGTTGCATCTTGCGATACCAGCTGGCCTTCATGGCACTTGTCAAATGAATCACTCCAGGCATTGGAATGGCATGCAGTTAGTGCTGTGGTGTCATTGCTGCAGGTTGTGTGCAAGTCGTTGGCGCAGTGAGTATGATCTGCCTTCGTACCTCACTATTTGTGGCTAAGCACTTTCAGCATTAATGTTGAGTTCATTGGGACAACGAGTTCTGTATGTAAAAGTGCACAGCACACATTTGTCCTCCCAATTAGGACTTTTTGATCAGTTCCCATGCATGGAAGAGGGCTATATTCTGAATGGTATGCTGTGTGCGTTTTGTCCCAAGGCTTTGTTTATGTGCAATATGTTGTCCTGGTTGGGTTCAGATGATGTGGTTTGTCGACATTAGGACGTGTTGCGCTGCAACAAACCTATTCCGTTATATCGAAGCCCATGCACTTCAATGGCACACCGTTTTATGTGGTTAGTTTTTTGTGTGGAGTAGCATCCGTTGTGCTCAATTTTCTGTGGCGCATGCGGTGTCCATTGGCTTCTTTAGCATGTGAGCTCTGAGTGCGCAATTGCCCACACAGCAGAATGCATCTAGTCACAACAACATGACGGTCAAGCGCCTGGTCATGGCAACATGCTGCAGATTCAACAAACACAGTCAGCGATATCGATACAGCCTGTGAGGGGTGCACTGAG